GCAGTCTCGAGACTTCCCAACGTTGCCCCCCCTTCGTGCCCTCATGAGACGATCTATAGTCTGTGCAAATGATGGGGAGGTCTTCCACAGCACGCTAGAGTGCGACCAGCCCCAGACATCTCGCCACAACTCCCCTCTATCCCGTCCAAGAACTCAACATGCTCCTTCACCATTTGGTCCATACACTCCTGTGGATCCAATCGGTTCAGAATCGCCACTTCCTAACTCCCACCTTCCTCATTCTCAAAACCCCAACCTGACCTCATCCTTTGTCCAAGCGACTCCCACCTTATCCCCAGCACACTTTTTTGGCTGCAATGAGGAAGTTTCTACCCCTATTCGCTCAAAATCATTGCACCTCCCTAGTCCCGCTTGCCCCGCGACTGTGCACATTCAAATCGAAGTTCCACCCTCTGCTCTGCCACGCCGTTCTAATGATTCTACCATCTTGACGCGTCTTACTGTGCGGAATAATATTTCTAGTTTTGGTGCTAGTCACGAAGAAGGTAGAGGACCTGTGAGGAGAGCTGTGCCTGCTCAAACCAGATTACGTCAGGTTCCTTCAATTTTTTCGGATACTTCCGACTCCGATGATGTCCCTTTCTCGCAAGAATGCCCTGAAGTGCAGCTCTTAGCGCAAGATCTGGACGCCTGTCTAGATACAGACATCAATAATTCAAGTGAAGATCTCTCTGACCTCGAACTGGACAACAACTGTACAAATGAAACTGGATGCATGGTTTTTTCTGAAGACCGAACCATACCTGGGATGCGTGGAATTTCTTTTACTCGGAATGCGATTGAAGACATTGCCTCTTCTATGTTTGATGATGCTATTGAGGAAGACGTGGAAGACGACTTTGCCGAAGGTACGGTAAATTATCTGCAAACTGAGGCTGATTCAGGGAGTTGTTTGGTGGAAAACGCTTGTCCGCCAGAGGAACAGACTTTGTTTGAAAATGCACAACGCAATCAAAACCGCCGTGTTCCAATCCGATCAGGGCTACCAGATTGGGTGTATTCATCCCCGTTTTCGCCAGTTTCCGTGTCTGTTGATGACGTTGATAAAGAGCTTGAGCCACGTTTCATTTCGGAAGTCAGTGAGGTGATTAAGAAAATTAAGGCCGAAGTATTGAGTAACGCAGTGGAACGACAATCTACCTTTTCTGTAAGTGGAAATGGAGAGACCTGCAGAACTACTTTGTCAAGACTTGATGTGGTAAGGGCATTTTTGCCTCTTAGTGTACTGGAGAAAGTAAGATCTTGTGCTAATCGTGCCTTGTCCATGAGGGGGCACGATTTGGTTGAGGTGGAGGAGCTACTAGGCATCATAATATTTCACGTACTTTGTGCCTTGTATGGAGCGTCTGCCACCACTCTGTGTTCAGCAAAAGAAAAGAACTGCTTTTTGCATATTGGTATATCCTCATCACGTTATAAGGAAGTTTGGTCTGCCCCTAATGCCATAAAAGGAAAACGAACCGGGACCGAAGGTCATAATTCTACATGGTCCACTCGCCCCATCATGGCTAACTCTCTGATTGCAGAACTAGAACAAGACTTGGCGGCTATCAATCGAAATTTATTGTACGTTCCGAACTCTACAAAAATTTCGCTTGACGACGATCACCTGAGACTTTCGTCTCGTGCTGTATCACTCTTGACAAATCTCAGGCAAGTGAGAAATCCTGCCGAAGCGCTCGGTCCCGTTTGTAACGCCATGTGTTCTGCCCTCACTTCAGGCTTTATAGCAGGACACCTGTCTCGGCCGAACGAGAAGCTATTTGATTTATGACTACGACTGGTCCAGTTAGTTCAAGGCGCACCAACTAAAAGCGCGTTGGTTCTTATGGCTGATACACTATTTGCAGCAGACAGAGGTTACAATTGCAAGGAAACAATTGATTTCATCAGCAACACTCTCGGTGCGTCTGCGTTAGGGACCCACAAGCGATCTCTCGACTACCCTTTTGTTTTTGGGGAGGGGATCATTCTAAAGAGGCACAAGGGCTTGACGGTATAAGAAAAAGGATGCAGAGCAGTATATTTTGCTAAAAAAGGTTCGTGGGGGTGTTGCTAGAAGGTAAGTGGAAGCGACTGTGTACCGGGAAAGCTACTCTGGTCGAATAGCTGCTGTTTACAGCAACAACGAAAGAATGTTTGGTTCTACAAAGTACACGCTCGTCCCAAGAGATAACTTTCGCGGACACATCGACCCATGAAAGATTAGGGCTCTAGCCACCCTCTACGACGACACAATTACCCCGCTTCCTGCCGTCGGCAGTAGCCACACAAGCGACATTAACAGCTCTCCTGAAGTCACTCTCAACTACATTTATAGCTCTGTCAAACATTTAACTTACTTTCAATCTGAGGATCCTACGTGGTTTTTGCTTCGTGCATTCACTTTTAAGTCCAGGACTGCGAGTCAATTCTTTCAAGAAACAGCCAAAGGCTTCACAGACAACGTCAAAATTTTGGCTTCGTTCATGAAAGGCAGGGATGTTGAAGAATATGTAAGGTTACCAGATGAGCGGACATCAGCTTCTGATATAGTCAAAAAGGAATGGGACATGGTTCTGTCCTATGTCGGAATGATGAAGGATAGCAGGACTGTCTTCGTTCCGTGCCCGTCGCTAAAAGATGATATCCTAGCCCTCACAGAGAGTAGTTTAAATCAGAAGAGGAAAGATGACATTAGCAAAATACTGTCAGACGCTGGAAGGGGTCAGCCGGCGTCAACAAGGAAATCTCGATTGGTCCAAATTGCTCTTCAGTTGCGGGACAGTGTACGGGAGGGGGACGTTACAATTGAACAGGGCCACTTAGTGCCACTGCGTTGTTAGACTTCAAAGAAGAGAAATATATGAAGTCATTGCGAAGGGCTTCAATAGACTCATGGGTGATGAAGCCATTGGCTGCTACAAGTGGGATGAAGGAAGGGTCGCTCAACGAAACCAGCGTTCTAAGGGCAATTCCTAGTTTTGTGTCGAACCACTAGTGTTTTCAGACCCGTCAAGATATATTTTACAGTATGAACGGAGTTTTAAAGTACTTGGAGTAGAGAGCGTTGGGCTATTGTGTCAGAAAGGGAACGCAATGTTTGGCGACAGCACCGATGCCATCTGGGTTTATGCAGTTATCGATGGAGTGAGGCGACCTGCTGGTATAGAAGTCAAAACAATGACCTCATACATGACAATTGAGCACGCTAAGGGGATTCGGGATCAGGCAGCTGGGGTCATGCATGTTGATAATATCGGCATATTATCCTCAAGTGACGCTGTATTTCGAAAAGTTGTCCCAAATGTTTCCTATCGTATGCAATGTATACATCACGCCATTGTTTTAGGTGTGGACAGCGTTTTTAGGCTGTAGGAAAGGGCGGGTGAGCGGCAATTGGAGAAGTAATTTACGTGGCATTGCTCACTTGTAGCAAAGAATTGAAGACAGCATATTCATTTTGTTTGCGAGGGGTACAAAGTTTTGCATTTAGTTGGGTTGGAGGTCCTGTACATGGAATTCCTCACTAATATGATGAACAGCTTCAGTCTACTCATGCCACTGATTTACAGGGCTTTTCATCCTACTACAGCCTGAGTCTCGTTCTCAAGGATTTGGTCGAATCAAGGAGAAGCCCTTTGCCACCCGCACGAATGATTCGTCCTAAAATACTGGTGACGTGGAACGCCATAAAAGGTGGTGTAGATGAATATTCTCGGGCTTTGCGAGCATTCGCCATGACAAACGTATCTGAGAATCCTCTTGTCAGTATCATCGGAAGAATGCTTTCCACGCAAATAGCCACCGCTGCTTTAGTGTACAAACTGTGTGTTGCCAAGGAAACAGAAAAAGTTTGCGAGGAAGTTGAAATGATTCCCGAACATCAGCGCGGTTACGCTAAGCTTAGACATAGAATTTCCGGAGTACAGAACGCAGGTATGTTTTGCCGTCGTTTGGCAGAGGAATGGGAAATGAGATTCTCATATGAAAGGCATGTTATGACACATGTGCAACAGGCAGGGACGAATGCATCGGCACTGAGACCGTTGTTTGCTCGAAACGCATACAGGGAATACAATAAGGCTCATCATCGTTCTAAACGACTTAATCAAGCACTCAACCACATCTCTGTTAAAGGACAAAGTTGATACTGCTCTTTATGCGGTTTTACATTCATGTATCGAAAGAAGACATTCCGGACAGGCGCAAAGCAAAACAAGTGGTGTATGAGTTGTCGTCAACCAATATGTGTGTCTTGTTGGGAGGAATGGCATTCAGAGGTGAAGCTGGCCAAGAAGAAGCCGTCTGTTGAAGACATCGATGCATTTAAGGCCCGAGTAGACAACGAGATGGGAAGAGTAGGTACTAGGGCGCGTCGGCGTGCAGCGTAGGGGAGCGAATGCGAGATAGAATTTGGTAAATATGTATCTACGCTTACGTACACCTAGATCATAGGGATATGCGTTTGGTGATGTTAGTGATGTTGGAGAAATAATGCTTACCTTGAGAAATTTCTGAGAGACAATGGTGATACCTATGGGGTGAGGTTGAGCTGCGACCGTTACGAAATGTTTGATCGCTCATATGTTTGGAACAGGTGCTCCATACTTCGTTCAACTGGTACCGTTGGAAAGCTAGGAATATGACACTTAAATTGGTTTGGTTTACCATGTGTTTCTGGTTTACAGAAGGACTGGGGCGCACATTGCCCAGATTTTCAACTTTTTGCTATCACTTTCTTGGTCAGCACCGGGCTATGGGAATCTATTTCCTGTGCCGTAGGGATGGCATTGGGTTCTATTTACACAGAGTCTATTCTGAAATACAGCAATAGAGCTGCCGAGTTATGTTGTGCCACTTGGCAGTAAAAATTAGAGAATAGAGGAGGCCGCAGAGATGCTCTAACAACCAAAGACTTTGAAGTTTCAGTGATATATTCTCAAACATTTAAAACTTCACAGAAAAGCGCATCGAAAAATGTGTAGGATATTTTTGTGATGTCAAGGATGGGCTCTGTGCTGCAAGGCATATCATGTGACAAGGAAGATATCCCCTCTCACCCTGATGTCTCTTCGCATGACGATCAACGAGAACATTCTGAGCACTATGACGGTGGCCTCTATGTGACCAGCTACACAGTTTCACTGCTGCCCTAGAATCGCTCCCTCTATGCAGAATTGCGCCTGATGCACTCACTATTCCTGAAGCCACGTTCTTTCACTGCTTCCAATTTTATTGCAATGTGCGCTGAGCCGGGCACATCTGCCGTCAATGGCGAGAGAGACCCCGGCGAACAAGCTCCCGCTCTAGCAGATGGCGTCAGTGACGCTGCCGAGCATAATCGTATTAACGAAAATCAACCCGGCGACAATGGCGCTGACACACCTACAACCGATCTTCAAAGCGCAATGGCCCGTGAGCGAAAGCGTCTGGCGCGGAAGCGAAAGCGAGAAGCTCAGCGTTTGAAGCGCCGGCAAAACACCAGTGTGTACGTCACGGGTCTTCCTGCGGACGTGACGGAGCAGGAGCTCGCCGACTACTTCACTAAGTGTGGAATCATTTTGCCTAGTGCCGAGACAGGGCTACCGCGAGTCAAACTCTACACTGATGAGAATGGAGACTTTAAAGGAGATGGTCTGGTTACGTATGCGATGCAGCCAAGCGTGGAGAATGCGGTCACGCTTTTAGACAACGCTCCAATACGGCCGGGGGGAACGCCCATTGGCGTACAGGCGGCAACTTTTGATCACAAGCAAGAATGGGACGTGGCTGGAAGCACTGACGACATGAAAAGAAATCAAGATGAAGGGGAAGAGGGGAAAAGACATAAAAGTAGCTTCCGGCCTCGGGAATTGGTACAGGAGGCTTTGAGCTGGGCTGAGGAGGGCCAGGAAGTGGCGAAGACGACGCGCATAGTGATTCTGAAGAACGTATTTGGTGCTAAGGATGCCGACTACAACGTGATTCGTGAGGACATGGAGGAAGGGTGTGGGGCATGTGGAACAGTGGAGAAGATTACCGTTTTTGAGCGCAATGCAGAAGGGGCGATCGCAGTGAAGTTTGCTTCTTTGGAGGCATGCGTTGAGTGCATCAAGGTGATGAATGGGCGATGGTATGATGGGCGCAAACTAAGTGCCGAGTTTTATGACGGGGTGAGCGATTTCCGATACAAGGAGACCGAGGAGGAAAAATCAGAACGCGAAAAGCGGTGGCAGGAATGGCTTGAGGCTGAGGGAGACAAGACAGAAAAGGATCCCTCCGTGTCATAGATAGATTGCACTCTCGCGTCGCAAGTGTCCCGCGTTGCCAGACAGAATCCAAACTCATAAACAGATAGCTATATGGCGACGTGCATGTTGATATAGCACTGAGACATTTAGGGCAAGGCCAGTGTGCTTGTCGCAATGCTCTAATCGCGGACGGTCATTCGGGGGCCTCGGTAGAGACTTTGATTAGTAACCACGCAGAGGAGCACCGCGACCAAAGCCACCACCTCCCTCGCGGTAGGAAGGACGGAAGTCACCTTCCGGCCCCATCTTTTTATCTCCGCCATCATATTTGCGAGAGCGATCTCCACGGCCAGCGAGGGCTGAACGCGGGGGCTGGCGTGGTGGCGGGGTGAGGGTGCTTGGCTTAACGCTGCCAGGCAGATTCAAAAAGGATCGGAGATATTCGATGCCCTCGTCGGTGAGGTAGTAGTAATAGTATTGCCAGGAGAAAGTCTCGCGAACGTACTCGCGCGATTTGAGAGACTTCATGGTCTGCATGACATGAAGGTTCTTGACGTCGATCTCAGCGTGCTTCTTGAGCATGGGGTCCTTCTTCACAACGCATACACCATCCTTGAATATCTGCGAGTAGATAGCAACACGGTCCTTCTTGGGCATTAACATCTTGATAGAGTTGTTGAGGAAACACAGAAAGTTGTTGCTGTTTTCGATTACTCCTACGTCGCGTGGGGAAGAAAAATGCTCTCGGATGTCCTCAACCAAGAAGGGACCTAGAGCCCAGGCAGGTTGATAGGGTGCATTGCCGACGGCGTCCAACTGTAAGATCAGGAAGTAGTTTTCACATTACAGAACAGCTGACGATGAGTAGATTGGATCATAAATTCCCAAAGGGATCACTGCATACAACTCTCGCAGTCTATCAGCAGGGCGCATACTGTGCTGCCTGCAAACGGACTGGGAGTGTTGTGGTGGTGCCACCACAGATGGAGAAGCATTCAGCAGTGCGTCCAGCTTCCGTGCTGCTGGCTCACTGCTGAGCGGTGAGCCAGCAGCACGGAAGCTGAGCTCATGCTGAAGCGCAAACTCGCGGTGCTATGAGCTATCAGCTTAACCATCTCATGTGCTTCTGCTTTAAATCTTACGTAGTCTGTATATATTCTTGCACAACGCTCTCATTTTGCTTGCACCCAGTTTGTCTTGCGCGCGCCTTCCTACGGAATCCTGGTTGGTCTTTCTTGTCGTGTCCAGGGCTCGCAGGAGGCTGACTTCACGGGTCCGAATAGGCTCGCAAGAAAACCCAGAACAATCCCTCAACGTCAGCCGCAGAAAAGTTAACAGTACAATTGCGTTGTTCTTTGTTGAGCATATCAGACCAACCCTTCATAAACGAAAAAGCGTTGGCATCGATAATGACAATGACCGTGCTTTGCCCTCTGCCCACTACTTTCGCATGTAGAACTAGCCCTTATCTTTCCTCTATCCGGCGTGCTTCGTGAACTCCGTCATGCACTCATCTAGAGCCGTGTTCTGTCTACCACATTTATGGGCCGGGCATCGCACGAGCTCTGGCACGCCGCCGCAGCACTCTTCAAGCTCGCGGGCTGATTTTCCACACAGGCTCCGCGTCACGCACCATCCTGCGAGCGTCGCAAATTTCTGGCAGACCACTGAAGTTGGCGAGGAGGACGGGTGCTGACGGACGCACTGGGCCAAACGCTCCCACGCTTTGCGACAGTGCGGGAAGGCCGCCACCGCACTGATCGTCCGGTGCTCGCTTGGAGTGGGCGCTGACATTTGCTTGTTAGTCATCAAGCGTGTAGATGAGAATCGCGGGCCGGCGGTGTCCGAGCATTCGTATTCGAGCATTCGTATGGGCTGGCACTTGGTGTTGCAACTGTCGTGTTGCAACTGTCGAGCAATCGATGCCGTGCCTCTGGGAATAGACGCTGTAGGGCATTACAGTAATAAGCTGTGTGCTGCATCTTGCTCCTGTTCGCACTGTGTCCTTTTTCAGTGGCACCCGCACAAATGGTCAAATGCTGAGGTAAGTCTTGTTTCTTCCTCCTTGTTGCTTGTAAGCTATGCACAATTTTCCATGAAAAGGATCCCAAATGCCTTCGTCGCCCAGAATGATATTACTTAGAACGAGCTGAACTTGAAAGATGCGGTGCACTAAAAGACGACGTATGCCAAGAAACGCAGTGTAGAGGGCGACTTGAGTTGTGGGAACTAAATGCTCTGTAAAGGCCACAACGCTGGGTCATCAAAAAGACATGTAACGGTGAAAAAGTAGTTACTCTTACAGGATACAGCAAGCTACTCATCTCAGGGAAAACTTCACGCAAAGATAGTAGAAGAGGACCACGTTCTTGATGTGCTGTATGGATACACATCCAGATTTAGTGCCTTCTATGGAATCGCAGACGCTGAATGCACGTATTCTTTAAAAAGTTAAGATGTATCGGGTAACTTTTGAAAGCACATTTTACGTAGTAGTATTGGAGTTGTTCAAGAGAATGGTCTTGCGCACAACCACTGGTTGCTCTCGCTGGGCCACGGACAAAGCAAGCGATCCGACAGGGGATGAGAAAGCACTCGGACGTCTAACAACAATTCTGTACTGCCGAGGGCACAACCAGTACCCAAAAGCGATCCTGGAGTGGATGGGGCCCACGTCTTGTAGCGAAGGCGCTCTTCTCGTCTGGTGACTTTCTAAATTTTCAGAATCTTTTGCCCAGGATAAGTGCTCGTACTACGTATTGCACGGTTGCACCATCAGCTGGAGGGGTCATCAGCCGAGTTTTTTCACTTACGCTGTAGAACAAATGGCAAGTGGATCTTTTCGCAGATTATATTAGCGATATGGGGTCATGGTCCGGCCTACCTACTCCTCAACCATGTCTTCATAATAAAGTCATTCGCAGAAAGATAGACTCTAACCACTGCACAGAAATCAAATAAGCTACGAAAGCCTTGCCTACCAGCAGTATTTAGTGAAGCACTTGTGGTGGGGCGAGCTCTGCTATGTATCACCATCTCCGAGGACATAATAAGTTGGCAACGGCCATTCATTGTTCAAGGGGTTGAAGCCACAACTTGCCGCCAACATGCAGGTATCATTTATTGATTCCCTTGTTAATTTTGGACTTCCATCCCCATCCACTTGTGTTCAGAAGTGAAAACACAGGATCGTTATCTCTCCAACAGTAGGGTTTTGAGAGGGACGATCCGAGCCTGATGTACGGTGTCTGCGAATTTTGTCCCTGTATGAGTTACTTTGACCCACGATGGGAATACGTCCTTGTCCGTCTGAACGCCCTGGCCAGGTCGAAGCAAAACCGCGGATTAATGGTGACACAACGCAGGACTTGTACTGATCCGGCGGGTGGTGGTATCAAACAATGCATATCACCCGACATTTACCTTCTTCGATAATGAGCGATACAAGAATCCCATTATCACATTTTTCGTCCTTTTCACTGGTCCGGTTGCTCAAAGTTGACAGATGGGCACGCTCTCATTTTTAACATCAAACATGGGAATTGGAGTCCAAGATTTGGAGAAGGATAACCTAAGTGAGGATATGAAACGTCATACGGATGAAGCTTCTTTCATAAAACAAAGAATCTATACAACACACACATCTGAAGATAGGGGGTTTCTCTCTCCTGGGCCTGTTTTACTGATATCATCCCCCACTATCTTCACACAGTTATCATGGCAGTCAGATTGCTACTGGTCGTTCTAGAGCGTATGGCAGACATGTCAATTTAGTTGGATTCATAGGAATTACCGGCGTGATTCGGCTCTACGCTCGTCGAAGTGGGCGAGGTCAGGCAAGAAGGTAGACACGCGGACGCCGTCCGGAAAAGAAGGACTGGGGTGTATGCCAAATCAACAGGAGTGAAGAGGGATGACGACTGCAGGCAAGTGGGCAGTGTAATGTGGCCGTCTATGGCTAGTCACGCAACCTAATTTTGTCGGCGGTTTTTTGCCACAATCATGGGATGATCTCAAACGCATCCTAATTTAGCTTCTGCAAGACTGCCCCGGCACTTTCGGGTGGCCAAAAACGCAGCTCCGCAACTCCGTAACAGTCAGTACTGTCAACGTTCACTTACGGCATCTGGATTCACAAGTCGACTGGCGCAACACACATTTTCAGACAGCTCTCGAAAAAGGGGAGTTGGCGAATCTACCCGAGAAGTCGTGGCACATTGGAGCCACCTTCAGTAGCTCTCAGCTCTTTGATCCTAATACCAGCATTGTGTGAGGAATCCAGATGGCCTTTGTTCCGCCGTACGTGCGCGCTACCAAGGCAGCTCACGGCAAGAGCGCCACACATGGCCGGAGTTGGCGCTCAAGCAGTTTCATTCCATGCGAGAGAACTTGCATTTCGAAGAGATGCCGCTCATCATGCCCAGAGCTATCAATGAGCACGGAGCAGAAGAAGAAAGACAAAGAGTTTCAAAGCGACGAGGAAAGGCGGTTACAGAATGACAAGAAATATATGTTTCGAGAGTTCGCGAAAATCAGTGCCGCTTCGGTTGGCATTGGCATAGTATTATTGTTCTACGACATGCTCATTTCGCTGGTCGCTGTCGGTATTGGCAGTGTCTACGCCATTGCTGTGTTGCTCGAGGTGCGCGGGGCGGATACATTGCTGAGTCGAGCGGTGCAAGGGGTAAGTTCTGCTTGGCGTGCATTTGGGAGGGCTGTTGGAGATGGCTATCGCGCGATTCGTCGGGAGGTGCGCAAAGGTCTCGAGGATTAATATTCATTTGCAGTTGTTTCATAGGAAATGCATTCGAAGGCGTCCAAGCTGTGGGGGCTTTAGTAGAACTATTTTTGGGAGCGTGTCAAGAAACATTCGCATGTCCATGGGTTTGCATTGCTGTTTTCGGCTTGTTGTCAATGAAGTGGAAGCTTAAATTGCGCTCTTGTAGAGGTAACCAAGTGCTGAGGTCAGCAATAGGCGCAGTTCAAACTTGGTTCTACACGACTGAAAGTCTCAAAGTCGAGCGGTACTGCTCGGATTACTCGACTAGACATTATTTGTGGCTGCTTCTTTGTTGAACGTGAGAGAAACTTTTATATGTACCATATTGCTTCGAGATGCAGTATTTAATGCTGTGACCTCTGCTTCAAGGGTAACTACTTCTGTTTACCATGATACAGTATTTATGAATAATCGATGTGACGGCTACCGCTACCGTCTACATACAATAGGAAGATGAATCCAAACCAGTCCACATTGATATGGAATTATGTATATAGAACTACATTGATCTCACACCCTACATAGGTTGGTGAGCAGGGTGCATAGGGCTCTCAAGTATTTTCAAGGTGTTATTCTTTGCGCATTTTGCCAACCATCGGTGCTTGTCTCTTCCCTGACTCCCTGCCGTATTCGTTAACTGAAGATCCTGTGCTACACGTTGCCATCTTTGACACGGGCCCCATGATGCATCTCCAAAATTTGGGAGATGGCATCCTGGAGTTGATCTTCGGTGCATTCGTTGATAAAACCAGATTGGCCAATATTGCCTCTCACTAGCGGCATTCTAAGTTTTCCGTGTCTATGTTCGATGCCATCGGTTACGGCTTGCGACAATAGTTTTATGGTACAGGCAGAATTCCAGGTCGGTAATCCAATATTTCGCATAGCGGCAAAGACTCGATTACGCGTCTCGGTAGAGATCCAGCCTTTGCGATGGGAAAGGATTATACAAATAAAACCATCAATATTGACGGCCTCTCCATGCATGACAGGCGGGGAGGCAGTCATCTCAAGAATCTTACTGAAAGTATGTCCGTAGTCGACACATCGTTCTAGACGGTGCTCCCAGAGGTTGGGGCCGAGTTCCTCGAGCATGATCTGTATTGAGAGCTCAATAACGCGATCTGGTACGAAATCATCGGTCTGAAAACGCTGCTGCACAAGACGTTTGCCATGGACTTCAAGTAACGAAAAGAGCTCTTTACTTCGCACAAGAGCAAGCTTCATGATCTCACCCATTCCATTGATGAGATTTCTCTCATCTTGTGTAGCGATGAAGCCCTTGTCTAGAAAAGCAGCACACGGAGGGTAAAAGCTGCCCATGCGATTCTTAAGACCGCCCATGGTGGGATGAACCCAATCGACGCCACATTTCACGCCGACGCTAGCATCAACAATAGCGAGCAACGTGGTGGGCACACGGATGTACGGAACGCCTCTCCTATAGCAGCTTGCCGTAAAACCGACGATATCCAGAACACATCCGCCACCAATAGCGACGACTGGCTCTCGACGCAAGAGACCAAACTCTGACATAGCGTTGAAAATCTTCTCGACGGCAGCAAAGAGCTTGTTTTCCTCTTCTCCCTTAATGAGAACGATTTTGAGTTCGACGTTGTGGGCGGCAAAATAGTCTCGGAGTTTGGGAGCGTAGAGGGTATGGACGGTTTCATCGATGACACAGAAACGACGTTTGAGGCCTGCGGGCATGAAACGAGTGGCGAGGGCAGTATTTTTTGGTGAGAGGATGTCCTTGTGGATCTCGACAGTGTACTCAACGGGGAGCTCATAGTAGTTGGTCCAGGCATGGACCATAGAGGATGCTTTGTCTTGCTTGTGCACGAAGACGTTCTTCGGAGCGGCTGGCAATGCGTGGACGGCCCGTTCTGACACGGGTTTAACGTTGACTCCGTCAGCTGCGGGTGCCATTGTAATTTGGGGGCCTTGAAGTAGGAAGAAGAAAAGGTGGAGGAGAGAAGTTGGTGTTATTGCCGGAAAGACAAAGGGAGATGTGTGGTGTGGTGAGCAGTAGAGTATTTAAAGAGTTGGGGTGTGTGTGGAAAGCGGGGGATCGGTAGCAACGGGAAGCAAACAGGAGAGAGACAGAGAGATGGGGTGATGAGAGGACATCTGTGGGTGTTGGTTGTTGTTATGAGTGGTAGGAGATAGGAGATAGAGATTTAGTTTTGAGGTGTGCAAGTGACTGCTTTCCTCGACTCAAAAGGTGCAGATGTGCAATGGTGGGGTAGGCGGGAATTCGGGGAAATACGCAACATATTGCGGTGGCGCGTGAATGCCATGCCCGCGTGAGAGACACAACCTCAAAAATTGCACCCGAGTACGAGCACTCGTCTGCCCCCAACAATGACGCTATGCGCGCTAACCGACATCATCCTCTCGTCGCCCCAATCCGTGCTCGCCAAGCGTCCCTCCCTCGGTCGCACACTGCCCGCGTGAGTGTAGTCGACGCCTCTCGCCCCTCGCATCCGAGTAACAGCAAGTAACAGCAATGCCACCGACAGCAAGGATGCATGTCCTTGACATCAACTGCATTGTTGACGACTCGCAATCCTCATGTCGGTCTCGAGGCCATCGCTTTAGCCGCCATCACTTGTGCCGCCATCGTTTTTGACTCGCGTTCCCCATCTTTTCCCATCTTTTCCCTTCTTTTCCACCTCCGCCATTCCGTCTCATCCGACTTGCATACTGTACAGGGTACAGTACCACGAAGGGTACTGGACAAGCCTGCCTTCCAGCCTGGAGCCACATCCAAACACACCCAGGTTCCTCGATCACCACTTCTGCCCCCCCCCCCCCCCCGCCATCTTCATATCCGTTTCGCAAACCACCCTCCCATCTCCCTGCAACACACACAAAATCCCCCACCTGCACCTATTTTCACATCCGCAAATCCCACCCCATCCCCCTCCTTCCCGCTCCCCGCGCCCCTTCTCACGCCTTTCTTTCTCCCGAAATCCCAACACAAAACGGTCGCAACCAAATCCGTCTGCAATCCGTCCTCAATCCGTCCTCAATCCGTCCTCGATCCGTCCTCGATCCGTCCTCGATCCGTCCTCACATCCTCTCCCCGTTTGCAACCCACCGCCTCCCAGCCTCTATATAAACCCCTGTTTCCCCTCATGTTTCATTCAAACCCTCATCCACCCTTTCATCCCAACCTCCCCGCCCTTAATCCACCATGATCTCCAACCGCCTCTTCGTCATCTTCCCGCTCCTCGCCATCGTCCTTGCCCTCGTCGCTGCGACCCCGACATCTGTCCGCTACTACACCTACGAGTATGAGGAGGTCCCCTCGCAATCCACTATCCCGCCATCCACACAACCTCGTGCTGCCCCCGTCACTCAGGCCCCGCCCCCGCCCCCGACCTCCCCGCTCCCGCCAGCGGCGCCTCTGCCCACCACCCCAGAGCCACAGGAACCCACCACCCCTCTCGACGGCCCTGGCTCGTCTGTCACTCTGTCAGATGGCACTACTGTGTCTAGCACTGGCGATACTTCGGTTTCCGCAGCGGGAAGCTCCACGGAGGGCGCTGCCTCTGCTAACACCGAGGAAGGCTCCGTTCTGGCTCTCGGAGGACCTGGCTTGGGGTTAGGCCTTGCCGGTATCTTCGATGGATTTACTGGCATGGCTGCTGTTGGAACTCCTACGGCATAGACTCATTGTACAGATTGCGCTCGTGGTCTAAAGACATGGCATGTAATGCGCACTGTGCTTGAAGATGTAAACGCCGTTGTTTTCTTGCATCGTTTTTTTGCCTCCCGTCACATCTCCGCAGTACCGTACAAGTGCAAGTCAACGTAAATGATTGCGAAATAAAGATATCTGACTTTTCCGCATAAAGTCTCTTTTGAGCCTTTCTTTTGGGTCATACAGTAAAAGGGCAGGCTTGGCTTCATGCTGCATGAGGTCATGTGACCTCAAAGCCGTATATGAACACCTTGTTTCGTGCAAAAAATGCATACACGAAATCGTTAATTCTAAACGTCTGTTTGGACACCATTTGAAATATTTACCCTTTTCCCACAGAAACATCATTTTGCGAGACATCTGGAGAGTACAGTACGACGGAACAGTAGTCTTGAATTCATTGAAAGATGACGAACTCCATGAAATTCAAGACAAGACCTGAATATTTAACTGTGTACAGTTGTGGGAACCAGCTGTTCATGTGAACAGCTGTTCACATGAACAGCTGGTCACATGACATGCTTGTGTCGCACGCAGTGTAGGGGCAGTTCTGTCTAGTGGGCAAGTATGGGCACAAAAGCCCGAGTATGCTACACTCTGCATTGTATTCGCTCTTAATCTCTCCCCTCGCCCGGCTCCCTCTCGCCCTGGTGCTCCCAGTGTCGCTATCGCTACATATATATCACTATCTAGTGTCTATTGGACGGACGTTTTTGATCATGAGGATTTTTCCTGTCTGTCAGAGCATTAGAAAGACCCTCCTAAATACCGTGCATTCTAGGTGCCTTCAAGGGACTTGGACATTGTTTTTTACTGTTACTGTTACTGTTTCGCGGTAACTATGGCTTTCAGTTCTCCCTCTTTGCGCCAGAAACGGCGCTGTCAAAAAAGCCTCATATGAGGCGAAATCCTCAAATGAGGCGCATTGTCCAATAGACACTAGGAGGACAGCATGTCGCTCCTGCACTCAATTGCCATTGTCGCTTACAATAGTCGACATTGTAATTGTCGGCTTTTCGCTACAGCTTGTAGACGTGGATTAGAACCCCCTGCATGGAGATTGGTTTGCGCCCTTTGGTCCTTTGCGTCCCTTGCCTGTATTAACTTAATTAATTCCTACCTCATGCATTGATCGAACTACTACCACTCCATTCAATCCTGCCATGATCTATAAGCTGCAAACGTGTACACGTTTCTCTAATTGTCACAACAGTACAGTAGCCGGATTCAAATACAGTAAATCAAAGAAACAAGGCTCAGAACTACGCTCTGATCGGCTTCTTCGTCAGACTTTCCCAAACATGACTGGAGCAGCCACTTTTGGCGGGGATGTGTCCTGCCGCAACGCGCAACTCAGTTCTGACGTTTAGAGTACTTTCCCATTACCAGACAAATACAAGTCCAGAAAAAGCAAGTCCAGAAAAAGCAAGTTGAATATGGACGTGAGGGCGCATCCAAAAAAGTCATCTTCAAACAAATGCTTCGCAATGTCACAACTCCCACAATGTTGTACTTAGTTGTATGCTTTCTCAGTAACACTCGTGTACGACCACAACAACCGATCCAGTTGCGTTCGACACGAATAACGATCTATCTATGCGACATGTGCTCTGTCAAACTATTCAAAAATCTCCCCTCTATGTTAAAGGTCCAGCAAAGAGTTAGTGTTCACAGACCTCGCTATACTAGAATCATTTGTACTGTCTGCCGCTTTAAAGTCACTCCAATCATCATCTGCAGTGCTCGCGCTGGCTGCATTATGCAGTTTCGCCTTTTCCCCTGCAAGCCCGCTCAGGAGCAAATCTCCCCCCGTATTCTGTGCATGCACAGGAACCTTTCGTGATGCCGGGGTTGCCTTCAAACCCTGCCCCATACCCGACTTCAAGCCAACAAGGAGAGGATCTTCGCTTAAGGCAGGATGCAGTTTAAGCGGCAATCTCTTGGGCGCGGAAGGAAGCGCAGCTTGGAAGCTTCCAAATGACGAAAAATCGTCTCCGCTTGTCTTCTCCCCGGCTTGCCCAGAGCCAGCATCAGACGGTGCCCCCTGGTATGACACTACACGACGATTAGATAAACTGGCAGTGATTTGTGGGCTTTGCAATCTGGGTTCACTTGTTCCTCTAGTCATCGCCATGCGTGCCTGGCTTTCCTTCCTGAACGACGAAGGCATGTCGCCTAATTCTTCGTTCACTTCTCGAAAGCCTTCTGTGCGTGGCGGGTTGTCCGTTCCTATCGTCTCGTCATAACCCTGACGTGAGTTTCGAGATGATGAACTATTGGACGACGTCGGCTGGCTCAAGAGAGAAGATAGTTTGTTCACAACGGATTTGATTTGCTTTGACCCTTTCCTTCTTGCAGCGTCCAAATTCCTATTCACTTCGTCAATAGACGGTTTCTTGGGCAGAGATGAGAAGGATGAGCTACTCTTTCCATGTCTCGTCAGCCCGCGAGGGTCGCTCTGAGCGAAAGAGGCATCGCCGCTTCGCGGGGCAGGTATTGGCGGTAAAGCCGAACGACTGGCTTTTGACGCATCTTGAGCAAGACCGCTCGATGGCACAGTGCTTCGAGTTTGTGACGCGGTATTCAACAGTTCTGGACCTCCAATATGCACCTCCATGATCCCCGAAAGTCTCCCAGTTGGAATCCCGGCTAGCCTACAGGGCACATCAAACTTTGCGCGGCCCCTTTGCGCACCTGAAATTGGGATGACAAAATGGCCAGCCGGAACGGCGTCCGAAAGCGGGGTAGGAGTGATAATCTGACCAACGACAAACGATTTATACACCACCGCCGCATCGACAGGCATTAGTACCAAGCGAAGAGTTTCATTCCATCGTGGGAATTGAGAGGGGCGCGGTGTTTGTCTTGAAACAATGCCTTCTGTTGCCGAATGCTCGCAGTACAAAACGATCTGTGAATTCAACTGAGAATTCTGATCGATTCCAGGAGGCGTTTTGATGTTTTCCCCTTGAAGTTCACTCAAGCTAATAATACATTGAGAGACACTTTTTGGCAGCATTGGACCAGGGCGACCATCGATTAAACCGCTCGCGAGTTCTACACAGGCTATTGAACTGCCTGTTCTCCTCGGGGAGTGCTCAACTCTCCACAGAGAGTTCGGAGCAATTCGATCGTCGTATCGGAGAGTTGGAAAGGAGTTCCGCATTACGGACAGCCCATTGGCAAGCGAGTAGCAGGATGAACCGTCACCCAAGTGCACCCAGTTTCTCGCTTCCGGTCCAGACCCTGGAGCGGAACCGTGGTGCCAATGCATGTCCCCCAGGAGGCCAGCCAAAGCAAAGTGGTGGAACTGATTTGTGACATCAAACGAATGCCGACCGAGTTTCAGTGCGCTCAGCGAATGATACACATCCGTCGAGCCACTCAGATGTCCACTGACAAAACAAAGTGATGTTCCCGCCACATGCATGCCAACTGCAGCCGCGCCGCCGGGAGAAAAAGCGGCAGAACGCCCGCTTATCGCTTGGGCGACGCTCATAACCGCTGGAGCCAGATTCTCCGAGACAAGGACTGCAATAGCTGGGCCACGATCCGTCACTGAGCATGCGCCCACGAGCACATATCCTGAGCTATCCACATCTATCGGCACAGCAGCCAACCCCCAAGAACGAGTTAGGGTGTTGCCCTCTGGTAACACGAGGGCGATGATTTCATTCTTTTCAGCGCTTGAACCATTAGGAAGTCCCCAGTCTTTCATCTTGTGCTCCCCAGCATTTAGACCAGCGATCACTCGAACGTTCATATGGGTCTTCGAAAATACGGGCAAGATCTCAGGCTGCGCCCAAGAGATGAGTGCGCGGAGAAAGGTTTCTCTAGCCACAGGCCCCGTCTTGAATTGCAAATCAAGTGGTGACGCTGTCGCGGGAGCCCTGCGCAATGGTTTGTAAATCAGTCGCAACCTGATGGGGGTTTTCTTCTCAGTCGTCTTCCCATCTTCGTACTTACTCCATGACACGAGCGAATGTCTGGGGTATTCTAGAGCGATACCCTCCGCGGTAGTAATAAACATGGCATCGTCATGCAATTCGATAAAGACCGGCTGTTTATCGCCACTTGCATTGACTCGCAGCGCTTCAAACGAATACCACAATGGAGAGGAGACGGGGTCTACGTCGTCAGGGCTCCCACTCCAGGGCGTGACCGACTCAGTAGGACTGCCCCTTGCGTCTGCCAACACTCGCCTAGGACGAATAAGCGCGTTGCCACACAAGATATCAATCACTTCCTGCCGCCCTTCATCGACAAAATTTTTGTAGTACATGCGCATGACTGATTTCATGCCGTCCCCGATTAAGCCTGTCGTTGAACGCTTCCCTGTGCGTGTGAAGTCCGTCTTGAGTGCTCCTGTCCCAGAATATTGCTTCGAAACGGCGTCTGCATTGTCTCCCCAGACATGCTTGAATCGATCTTCAGATTCACCATAAACGCGTGGCATGGCCGATGCTTCCGCACCAAGCAATTCCGGACTAAATATCGCTTCAAGCTGCATGTTGAGCACGACGCGCGATAGCAAAGACTGAACAACGTTGGTCCTATCCAGACAATCCACGCAATTGACCCTGAAAACTCCGTGCTGCGTCGAGTTCTTCCCCGTCGCTTCCAAGCCTCTGGCAAAGATCCCGTACACCTCAACATCCTGTCTCAACCGCTCGAGAAGCTTTCCCAATCCTCGTTCATATTCTTTGCCAGCGCAATGCGTATGAAAGTCAAACGCTACAAGCTTCGGAGGCAGCGGCACGTCCAGATCGCGTAAGTCCAGATCAAAATGCCTTTCAAACGCATCTGCAAGCACGCCTTCACTCCCTTTTTTATCCACCAAGCTCACAGCTGACACACCGCCATAACTCCTTGTAATCTCGTCAAAATGCGTTCGAAAGGCCTTGCGACTCGCTGTCAGCACGCCATCCAACTCTGGAGCAGGTCTTGCAATGCCATTATCCTGTCTCCAAAACACCGGTACACTGCCCCTAATAATGACAAACGAAGAGTAAATGGTCGGACGTTCCTCTGCCCAGGCTACCTGCTCTGTCTCGACAAAATTGGCGACATCACCCATGGCATCTACGCCTCTGGTAATATATCTGGTCCCGGCCCTTCTCCTAGACCTTCTCGACACGATGGTCAAATTAAACTCGCCACTGCCACTCGCCAGGGCAGTACTCTGAAATCGCATGACATGCGTCCCGACAAAGCCATAGACAGTCCGAAGAGACCACCCCCAGCCCTGGCTTCCCAATCTCTCCGCAAGCGGCCATGTCCACCAAAATGCGTTGGCCACACCGTGCGAGGCACGTGCCTGGGTGCAGCGGGTGAGATCGGTGTCAAGCGCAAAGTACAAGGCACCGCCATCCAAGGTCTTCGCAATGGCGGTGGTGAGCTCTTTGTCGTTGCGCAGCGGTGGGTTGGCAGAGAGCCTCACGAGTTTGACTCGCGAGACGGAATAGATATTGCTAGCGGGCAGTGAACCGGCGCGCCTCGCCTGCGTGGCCAAGACGGCATATCTCGCGGACGGGAGGCGCAGAATGCCCAAAAGCCCCGCTGCGGCATCAACGACAAGCGAACTAGCCAAGGTGACGGAGACGCCCGCTTGCTCCGGCGAGGATGCGACGTACGCCGGGGGCACATTCTCTGCATCAAAGGGGAGGACGAGGTAGCGGTCGCGCTCAGGCGGTTTTTCTCCCGGGGCGTTGGCGCCGGCAGGCGGGGTGGGGAGGTCGAGGTCGAGCAGAGAAGGGGTGGGGAGCTCACTTGTGATTGCAGAGGAGGCAGAGAGGTAGCGCGAGTGGACGAGGTTGGCGGCGTCGATGAGGGCGTTGCGGTCGGATGGGTCGGCGTGACGGAGAGAGGCCGTGACATCATGGAGGACTAGGCGGTCTGGCAGCTGCAAGACGCGCAAGGCGCGGGGGGGTGGGGGCATGGTGGTGACTCCACCCAGTACCACGAAGATGGTAGTCGACAAAATTCGTGGGGGTGGAGGGGGGAGCTTGACACTCTGGAAGCTTGACACTCTGGAAGCTTGACACTCAGTAGCAATGCGGAAATTGCAGTGCGCGTTTCACGTTTAGTTCTATCCGAACGGGGGTTTCGACGTTGGGCGAGGGGGCGCTGGGCGAGGGGGCGCTGGACGAGGGGGCGCTGCGTGAGGGGGCGCTGCGTGAGGGGACGCTGCGAGAGGGGGCGTTGCAGGTCTGCGTGGCCAGTTGTACACATTCCCAGAATTACCCAGTGTATGGACGACAAGTGGAAGCGCACAAAAGGGCATTCCCCGGTAGATCTCTGCAATGTCAAAACGTCAGTCAACAGGAATAACAAGTCAGAAGGTAAACACCCCAAGGGTACAAGTTTCTCGGCAGTAACTCATATAAAGCATGGAAACAGTTTACCTCATACGGATCTTTGATAAATATACATACACCGTGACGAGAGATTGGTTGCATAACCCTCACTCTTCGGGCCCCCACAAGTTGCTGTCTGTGCGTCTTCAAGCTGCGTTGCAAACATATGCAAAATTGCAACCCACACGCTCTAACACTTCATTTGCACCCCCACAATCCAAAATTTGTCATCCCCTACCAAATCCCCTTCTCCCCTCCGCACCCCCTATCGTCCTATAACCTTCAAATCCCGTGGAAAAACAACATTCTCATCCATTGCAATCGTCATGGTCACACATACAGTACGAGCTGGTCACTTTCTCACATAGGCATGTCAAGTCTCCCGCCACTCATCATCTGGTTGTCAAAATGCGGCATTCTCTCTGCCGTCGATTCCTCTAGGGCACCCCGTTTTATCCCGTCAAGCTTAGCGGCAACAGCCGGAAACACCTTGCGGCAGCTCTCCGTGATCTCTATGCGTTCATTCGCTGAGGTGAACACCTCCACTTTCGATTTTCCGATCGAAGTCGCCGCACGGTTTGCAAACTGCTCCAGCTTTACATGCACCGACTGCCGCAACTTGTTGTGTGCCGCCTCTGCCCATTGCGGCGTGTCTTGGTTCACGCCTGCCGCCGCTACGCAGTAGCGTATCAAATCTGTCCATACATTCGCGTCTTGCAGCATTTTGCCGGTGCTCATGATGTTGCTTTTGAACGCCAGTAGCGCCTTTTTGCATTTTCGATGTGCGTCCGCGTCCATCTTGGGCGGCAGTGGATCGGGCAATTGGGCGTAGATGGCCTCGCGTAGTACGGAGCACCTTGCAACGTGTGAGTCGATGTCGACTGGTGCCAAGTTTTCCCATGCCGCGCTGTCCGCGATGGCGCCTGACCTTACGAATCCGACAAGCAGTTCAACCATTTGTTCAGAGGTGCAACATTTTAGGCGCTTTCTCAACTTCGCCTGCTTGTCCCGCGGTTTCGACAACCTCGGCGTCCCCACGCTCAACGACATTTGTTGCGCGGAATCCGACGACGACCTTGGCGCCGTGGATGTAGTATTCAGCTTAGTAGACGATTGGGAATGTTTAGCGTTTGTTTGAATGGATTCGCGGATTTGGCTGTCCGTGTTGTCGACCATGGACGACTGGACTTCCGACACTGCCTCACGCACAGGGGAAACGGCGATGCTTTTCCGGTTGGACGAGTGCGGGGTCTCCGGCGGGGAGCGGTGGACGGAGTTTGTAGCCGAAGGCGTGCCGGTGATGGTGGTGCCTGTCGCAATGGTCGGGGTGGGTATACTGATGGGAGAGACCGCCGGGAGGTTCTTTCGGTGGGGGTTGATGACAGTGTACATGTTCTGCTGTGCTTGATGCAGCGGCTGTTGGTCGGACTGTTGAGTAGTCTGATGCTGCTGCAGTCGTTGATGTTGGTGTTGGTGGTGTTGGATTCTCTGTTGTTGCTGATGCGAATAGGCAGAAGGATTGGGTTTGCGGCCTTCTAGTGAGGTGGCCATCATGTTGTAATCCTGCCTAACCTGCCTTTGTTGCTTACCCTGCCTGGGCATGACATGCTTTAAGTTCCTGGTAGCCTTGGTCTTTGCAATGGGCTTGGTCGGGGGAGAGGCCCTTCTCGTGAGCTGTTGCTGCTGGAGCATATGTTGCTTGTAGCGAACATGGTTGGGCTGTGGTTGGTGTTCGCGCCTCTGCTGCGCGACAGCTTTCCGTTTGGCGGCTGGCTTGTTTTGCTTGGAGGAGGCATAGCGCTGAAACTGCTGTTGCTGCTGCTGCTGCTGCTGTTGCTGCTGCTGCTGCGAGGGTTGCTGGAGCGGGTGCTGGGTGTGCATCTGGAATGGCATGGGAAGGTTATCTCGAAAGTCGCGCGGCAGTTGTTGTGCTTGTGCCTGTTGCTGTTGGTGCTGTTGGTGCTGTTGGTGCTGTTGGTGCTGCTGCTTCTGCTGCTGTTGTTGACGTTGGTGCTGCTGGTGCTGATGCAGTTGGTGCTGTTGGTGGAGTTGCTTTTGTTGCGATTGTTGCTGTGGATGGTGTGGGCGCGGAACAGAGGGCTGGAGAGGTTGGGAACTCATGGGGCGGTGATTGGAGTCGATGGCAATGGAAAGATGGGATGTGTGGTCGGGCATGAGGGGGAGGTCGGCGGGAGAATGCATAGGGTTGGGTTGCGAGCGGTTCGGATGGGAATGGGCGGGGACGTGAGTTGAGTTAGGGAGTGCGGGCTGGGGCTGGTGCGGTAGCGAAGCGGAATGCGAGGGGTTTTGGCGGTGGTGGGGGTGGATGCGGTCTTGGGTGGGAGCGGCGTCGGGTTGGGCGGGAGTGGGATGCTGCGAAAGGTGCTGGGTGTGAGGGGCTTGAGTGCGCTGAAGGGGGGGCTGCTCTGCGTTTGTATTCCCTTGAAGCGCGGCGTGTGGGGGAAACGGGAG